ACCATAAAATATCACAAAATCATATCTCCCCATTAGTAAACTCCCACTGAGATCATGCCCCTTACCCTTTTCTACTTTTCCTGAGTGTTGACCACTTCAACACTCTGAGGTAGTATAACACTTATAATTCCTCCTTTAAGAGATTCCTTAGCCTATCTAAAGTATCTAACCTAGTTGAGTAATGCCCACAATGACATTACCATACGACCCTTCGTGTAATCTACTAAACAATTCAAAATTATTTATTTTGAAAGTTTAAGATCCTAAGTAAAATATTTTCAAAACCATTTCATAAATTACTTAAATTATAAAACACTACACAGCGAAAGCAATATGCAAAAGTACATCAAAGAATAAGAAAACATGTATATTTCAACCTAATTAAGTCAAAATAGGGGCCATGCATCACGGCTCGTGTTACATGTACCATAGCATGTGGCATAGAGACCTTAGCGTCACTCTCTATACTATGCACTGTGGCATGTTAAACTTCATTGTCACATGCACCATGACACACATATCAGAATTTGCTGTCAAATTTTAGATTCTAATATCAGCTTCGAAAGTGTGTTGTTTTCACATCCGATGTCCAATTGGGGTGGTCCAAGTGCCCAAATGAAGCTTGTTTCAAAGTCTAACCAATGAGATTAGTTTCATTTAAATTCAATATCTAGTTTGAAAATTGGACACTTAAGTGTATTTTAATCATTTTAAGTCAAAATTTGCCACTTGAGCATCATTATCGAAACCATAAGTCATTAGCCACTTTTAGGGCCTTGACCATATCTAATTGGATAATATATACTTAATTGACCAGTTACATAAACAATATGACATGCATACACATATTTGGCCTATAAATTGCCTATAACACATAAATTGGGCAATTTCTCACTTTTCATTTTCATTCTCATACAAGGCCACATTTCATATATACATCTCACATACCATTATGCCACAACTACATATACTCAACTACTAGCCCACATGGCCATTCTCACCATTTATACACATATACACACAAAAGGCTAGGATATTAAATTCACACAAACATAGATGCATCCACAACTTTACACATGTTTATTTAATACAATTGTTCCTATGGCAACTTATACACCTAATCCACACTATTAACAAGCATATTCATTACACCACCTTACAATTGGCTTATTAGAAGAGTCTGCACTTAGCTTGTTTCCTTTCCCTTTACTCCACTACTACCAGAACTTTAAAATATAAATGATCACGAGTGAGATCAAAATCTTAATAACTAATATAACTCATCAAATGTCTATTAGCATAAATAACCGTGTCAAAGTAGTAAAACCAAAGCATAGCATATTTATTTATCATAATATAGCTTAACTCATAACTGTCTCATATAAATCATTTTCACATATTTCCACACACTAGCATGATCATCTATCCATCGATCCTGTAAAGCTCCCTGACACAAAACCATAGGCTCTACTAGATCAACTACTCATTTACCTGAGCATACTTTTGGTGGTAGAAACACCCAGCCAAAAGTAATCTATCCCACTTATGGACTATGATTTTCCTCTTTTCACACACTTATGTAGAGGCATCATTAATTTCTAACTGTACCCTAATAGGCACTAGGGAGTTGCCAGAGTGTCCAAATGTTCCATGGTAATAGCTTCAATATAATGTTGTATCGAATTACCAATAACACCAGCCCGTAATATGTTGCACTGGATGTCCCATGGTGCTAGCTTGACCATATGAATTTATTCACTCACATCTCCACACACACACATTTATACATGCTCTAGGTGAACTCCTACCTCCTTTGATCATGCTTTTTCACATGTAGTTCACTGCTTTTCTAGAATTTACACCATACATACATACATACATATATATATATATATATATATATCAAACAAAACTAGAAATTGTCAACTTTCATTTAACAAATTCAATTTCATGCTAAAACCATTTACAATGCTAAATCATACATGAAAACCCATAAAACCATAAAATTCATAATTTTCATATTTACTTCTACACAGTTATAATAGCCAATCAACATAACAAATTATATAGTTACCTCAACTCTTCTATTCCTTAGAAAGGGTTACCTATGTTCCATAACCTTGTTTGAGTTCCTTTTGCTATTCAACTCATCACATGCAAGAATTTACACAATTTAGGCACCCAAAGTCAATGAATCCATTGACTAAAAGTGCCAACTACAACAATTTAACACCTAATCACTACAACTTTCACTATTCATATTCATTCACACATACTATAACTGATTACTACTCCATATAAGCATTAACTTCCTCACAAACAAATTCTCTCCTACTACTCTCTCTCTAGATTAGGTTAATTTGAGCCTATAGTTTTAAAACTTTATCGTTTCGACCCAAACTAGTTACAAAGTACTAGTTTAGTCTTAGAGGACCTTTCTATTACTATAGGGTAAGAAATCATCTCTTTAAAACTTCTGAATTCAACTTCTCAATAGTTAAAACTAAGAGAAAACAGAGTAGAATTAGAGGCTAAGGTAGTACGAGACTTACCCGATAAGTAACAGGTTAGAAACGTTGTCCTTTCTCGCATAATCGCTTGCTCTAGCAGAGCTTGGCTCCTTCTCCACACCCGATCCTTCTTCTCTTAATCTCTCTTCTATTTTTCATGAGCTAGACATGTTCTTATTTATTAGAACTCTATTCCATGTGTTACAACATAGCCATCCTCCATCGTGACGCGTGGCACGATGAGGGTAATCCTCACTATGCTCACATGCTCTACTTTGAGGCTTCATTCTTCCACTCATATATGCTCATATAACATCCCAAATGAGTTAATACAATACTTCACTATCCAAAATCCCAATCCCACATTCACTAATTGAATCCAAAATTAATGGTAATACATAAATCAAAAATCCGGGATGTTACAAGTTACACTTCCCTAAGTGCAACTCCTCGTCTGTATGATCACAATGCATGCTAATAACCTCATTTTCATAAATAATATCATTATTAAACAGATAGTAAATATAGATGTACTATTATCAAAGTAATACCCCATAAACCCTCTTAAAACATATTTATTTTCTTTCAATTGTTTAAAACATGTAATGCATGCTATATAATATTATTTACTCAAAAATATCTAAATAAAGTAATAAGAAATATAAATTTCTTTGTTATCTCAACCTTTTTGTACCAAAAGGGTTTTCCCTTGTACAAAAATGAAACTTGGCTTGTTCCTTATCCTCTAATTAAATTTCACCAACAATTCCCTACAACATATAAATAATTCACATCATTTATCATGGTAAATATCATAAAAGAAGACTATAACTTATATCATACAACTTGGGTCAATGGGCCATAATCTATCCCAATGGTCCATATATTAAGCCAACCACTCATATAGTACCACTTAACTACCAAAATTATTTATTAGCCATCATTAAGCCAATTTCCAAATCATACAATTTTTAGTCAACCAAAAACCTTCATTTAGTATTACTAACTTTCACAATTAGCCCTTATAATAAAAATCAAAGCTTAATTTAAATCTTATTGGATTCAAATAGCACAATTATAATCAAATCAATAGGGTTAAACCATTAAAGAGCAAAACCCAATCCCTTAGGGTTTAATTTTTGCTTAAAAATCCCTTCTTTCATCCAATTATCCACTCAAAATACTAAAGCCCATATAGAAACTTAAAACAAACTCCCTAGGACCCAAGAAAACTAAAGCTTACAAGAGCTAAGCTATTGGGATCAAAATTCAAAATTTTCCTCTTCTAAATATTTAAGAAAACCAAGAGGGAAGGGAGAAGATTGAAATTGGAAGCTTACCTAGCTCATGGCTGAGCTTGCAACCATTGCAAAGTCTCCTAGATCTTAGCCGTAGCTCCATCTCCTCCTCCTCTCTTCTCCCTCTTACTATCTCATCCGTTCGTCTTTCTTTGCTTCTTTGTTTATCTATTTTGTTTCAACGTTCATTTAAATAAAAAAGAAACTTAACTAACTATTTTGGGAAAAATTACAAGGGCCTAAATTATAACACAAAAGCCCAGGACAACTTTGATAATTTTTTTCATAATTAAAAAAACTAAAATCAAACTTTTACTTAGTAAAAGTCAAACTCTGTACCATTATCAAATTATTTTAAAATTTAATTTAATCATATATATTTTATCTTAAATTAAACCCACATCTTAAAAATTTTGGGTTGTTGCACAATTCATAATAAGCTTCCCCTTAATTAAGGAGATATATGTCAAAAAGTAAAGAGACTAGAAAAATTAAGTAGTAGAATAATACTGATGGGTTAAAAAGATTAAATAGAAATTCATGTTTCATTAATGTGACAGAGAATGCTCAGAAGCACTGAAGTTTATACATAAACAAGATATCAACAAGGGCAGAAAATACAAGTATTCAATCAAAATCAGAAAATACACTTCCTTGACTGGATCAGCTCGCCGAATTTGCCAATTTGGTTTGGGTTTTAATAACATGATTTTTTAATCAACATAAAAGATATTCATATAACTAATTCCTTCTCACAGATAATCTTATTTATCACAAAGCTAGTTAGGACGATTCTTGAATCTAACAGCTTCTCATGTAACATCGTATTTTAACATAAACTCTTCCTTGGTGTATTCTTGTTGTCAGCAGCCAAATATGAAATGAAGCATTATGGTTCTCTTGGTAAGAACGGGATGGTAACACTTATAGTCATTTCTATTTTCTTGATAACGTTCCTGGCGATCTTTTTTTTGTATTGGTTTGTAAAGAACAATAAGAATCAAGGTAATATGCTTTATTTCAATCAATTTTTCCCTACAAAATGAAGGTCTTGAGTTAATACAACCTATACCAAGCACACGAAAATTTTTAAGTTTTGTCATCTATTCAATCTAAAGTGATTAATTGTGTATGTAATTTGATGTATTATAAATCATCTGTTACATTTGTTTTTAATTTTTGTTTGACACAGAAAAAAGAAGGCACAACATCTATTTGTTTGATGGGGAAAACAATTCCAATTTACCTCTCTTTGATCTAAAGGACATAGTTGAGGCAACAAACAATTTCTCAGACGCTAACATGCTTGGACAAGGTGGTTTTGGTTATGTATATAAGGTATAGCTATCTTATACATTTAACGTGTCTCAAATTTCATAAATTGGATCAACATTATTTTCAATGCCATTAGCTTATTATTTCTAGCAAATTAACTATGGATTTTGACATTAGGGTCTACTCAAAGATGGAATGGAAATAGCAGTAAAGAGGCTATCAAATTATTCTGGACAAGGAAATGAAGAATTTAAAAATGAGGTTACTTTAATTGCAAAGCTCCAACATAGAAATCTCGCAAGGCTCTTAGGTTGTTGCATAGATGGAGAAGAGAAAATGTTGATATATGAATATTTGCCAAACAAAAGCTTGGACTCTTTCATTTTTGGTATATCTTCTTAATTATCATTTAAGTTTGCTGCATATATAAGTTATTAAAATTTCAATTTAGAAAATGAAAGATGATCTAGCATCCTTTCACTTTTAATAGTTTACAACTTTTATTTAGATCAAGCAAGAAAACTACAATTAGACTGGAGGAAAGATTTGACATCATTGTGGAGTTGCAAGAGGAATTTTATACCTTCATCAAGATTTAAGATTAAGAATAATTCATTGAGACTTAAAGGTTAGCAACATCTTGTTAGATTCTGCAATGAATCCAAAAATTGCAGATTTTGGGATGGCAAGAATATTTGGTGGAGAACAAATTGAAGCAAACACAAATTGTGTTGTTGGAACCTAGTAAGCACTCAACCATGAAGCATATCACTATAGTTTCCTAGCATTGCATGACACACATTCACACATGCGCACAAGGGCGTGAGCATACACACTCCCAGTTTCCATTAGTTAGAATGATTTTTTACATATAATCAAAATTTATATCTAAATGGCGTAAATTTTGGTACTAATTAAAAATCCATTCTTCACAGTCAAATGACATTTCAACACGAGCTAGATAGATTACTGATTTATGGCCCACTCAAAGTCAAAATATATTCATGTGACATAATATATATATATATATATATATGTAAGAAATAACAATAAAACCTTTAGTTGGAATTATGACCATTGACAAATTTCAATAATTTTTTTACATTGGTTATATGTCACCTGAATATGCAATGGAAGAAATTTTCTCAATAAAATTAGATGCATATAACTTTGAAGTTTTACTTTTGAAGATTGTTACTAGCAAAAAGAATAGTGGTCATTACAATGACATTACTTCTACTTTGGTTGGGCATGTAAGTATGAATAATGAAAAGTTCTATCAAATTCTTATGTTTAATATGCTTGATGATCAACGAGAATCTACTTTATCAAAATATCTTAAGTCACTAAGATCTATCCCATTATATATATATATATATATATATTCTTAATCCATATTCTAATTACTAGATGTGAGACTTATTTCTTTATTATTCTTTTTACTATATTCTCTCCAATATTTTATTTTTCTTATTGAGTCATAAAGGTCTCAGGTACATGATCTTTACTTTATACTTCTTCTTTTCTTTCTTTCCTTTTTTTGATGTCTTGATTTTTTTCTTCATATTTCATTTTTCTTATTTTTCTTTTGTTTTGTCTGTGTTTTATTTCTCTTTTTTCCTTTCTTTGTTTTTTGTGTTCTAAATAAATCAAATTACTCTTGATACCATGTTAAATTGCTTATATTTAATACGCTTGAGGATTATATACTTCATCAAAATATCTGAAGTCACTTGGTTAGACATAATTCAAGCTTTATATATATATATATATATATATTTTCCCTTAATCTACTTTATAATTAATAGATGCAAGATTTCTTTTTCTAATAAACTCGAGTTAAGTTGGCTCTGTATAGCACACAATCTAACTATCTATTGCATTCAATTTAGATTTGGGACCTTTGGAGAGAAAGTAGAGCTATGGAGATTGTTGATCCATCATTAATAGGTGAGTCATGCCCTGAACATGAAGTACTAAAATGCATCCAGATTGGGCTTTTATGTGTGCAAGAATATGCTAGGGATAGGCCAACTATGTTTGACGTTGTTTCCATGTTGGATAGTAGTGACTCAACTCTTCCTCCTCCAAAGCAACCTGCATTTCTTTTCAAGAAAACTAATTGTGATGCAAATCCATCAATCAGCGAAGGGGATAATTCAAAAAATGAGATGAGTACTACTGTGGTTGAAGCTCGCTGAAGGCCATGACTCTTATACTTGATAATGCTCTTATATAATTAACGCTGTAATACTTTTGAAGTGAATGATTTTATGATTTATAAAACTTCGTTAATGATAATGATGCATATATCTTTTACCACTGAAGTGTGAATGTATTTGAGGCACGTTACTTTTACTATTGAAGTTAGTAATCACAATGTAAACAATGTGTAAAACTTGCTAAATCATAAATAGGCTTTAGTTGTTACTTATTAGAAAAATTGGAAATGATATTTTCAAGTAACATTTTGTTGCTTCACATATATGGCATAGTCCCCAAATTAATAGTCCTTGAAACACTACAAAAAAATAACTTTTAACGACGATTTTTAGAATTGCTGCTGAAAATGAACAATCTTGTTCTCGCCAAAAGTTTGACCTTCTACAATGATATTTAAAGTCACCATTGAAAGAGTGATTTTTTGCAGTGACAATACATAGTTACCACTGATTGTTAAACTTTTAGCTGCAACATGTGCATGCTGTCGCCGAATATCTAAATTTCAATAACACTGAAAGTTCTCAATTAGCAATGACTTTTTAGAGTCGTCATAGAAAGTGTGACTTTCATAACAATTAATAATAACTGGATATTATCATCATAATTTTTTATTTTTTATTTAATCTAATATTTAACATTTTAAAACATTAATTTTGTTGTATTATTGTAATTTTATAATATATATATATATATAATAACATAATGAATTTTCATTTAATATATTTTATGGTTAAATTATAACTTTAAAATAATAAAATTATTTTAAGATAAGGTTAAGGTATTATTTAATGCTAATGAGTTAAACTAAAGAATTAAGCTAAACCGTATTATTTTACATTAATTTTTATTATCAAGTAATGTTTGGTTTGATTTGGTCTAACCATTTAGGCCAGTTTGGTTCATTATTTTTGGTCAATTCACACTGAACACAAATGAATTGACTAACGCATGCCCCTATGTGGAATGCATATAATATGGTAATGAGTCTCTATTTTTAAATATTTTATGATTAAATTGATATTTTATACAATAACACTACTTGTTTATAATAATTAGATATATGATAATTAAATTTATTCATTTATAGAATGATATTTCATCTAATCTAATTTTTCAATTCAAATTCTATGTTTAATATTGGTAACTATGAAGCTTGACGCTAGTTTAAATGTTCCCAAATTGATGACTAATGATAGGAAAGAGGAAGATGAAAAGAAAAGAAATGAGATATTTTAAAATTTTACTTTTAATTTTTACAATATATATATATATATATATATATGAAATATATCTATGTATGTGATGATATATAATTTTTTTTTGTTTGATGCAATCTAGCAACATAAATAGTGTATAATTTTCTTATAAAATTATAATTTAAAAATGAAAACTCATTAAAAAAATTAAAATGTAATGTAAAAACAAGTCAATTACATTATTTAAGAGTTATTGTTAATTAAAAGAAAAAATTAAATTTTAAATAAAACTAGCCAGAAAAAAAATAGTTATAATATGATGTATAATCATCTCTATTTTTATTATTTATTCTTAAATATTTTATATTATAATTATAAATATGAATATTACAATAAATAATACAATATCCTCAAGAAGTAAAAAATTAAAATAAATAATATAAATGATATTGTATCAATTATATTTATAGTTTAACTTTAACAAAATAAATAATATAATTTGAAATTTTAATAAATTAAAAGAATTAAATTGAAGTATCTAATGATAGTAATGATATTTTATAATATTTAATATTTAAGATATATGTGTGTTTGATTAGTTTAATAATATATACTCCCTCCATCCCTATATATAAAATGTTTTTAATCAAATTACGCAAACTAATAAACGTTGGTTATCTAATTAAAAGTATAATAACATCCCAATCTTGTTTCTAATTATTGTAAATAAAAAATAAATCTCTTTTTTTAAAATAAATTTAGTGAGAGTACTTATCTTTTTCTCTTTAATAAGGGTAGAATGATCCATTTATTAAAAAAGATGCTAACAACCCCTTATATTTAGGAACAAAAAAGGTTCTAAAAGATCTTTTATATATAGGGACGGATTAAGTATTTAATTATGCAATAATAGACTACAAGTTCATTTTAGTTCAGTGGCAAATATTGAGACCCAAAAGAAAGAGGTCATGAGTTCAAATTGGAGGAGGTAATCTATGAAATGAAAATATAAATTGGTGATACAATGACACGTGGCGTGAGGTGGGGACGACATATGGAAGGTAACATAGCTTCTTATGGAGTGTGACATGGGTGACACGTGGCAAGTGATGTGGCACCACATGGCAATAAAAAAGTCACCACTGATTGGTAGTTTTTGCAGTGACTACTTAGCATTCAGTGACGACAATTCTTAACTTTCAGTAGTGACAAATTTTTCTTTCCATGTCGTCGCTTATTTTTAACTACAACTTTTATTGTCATTGCAAATAAAATTGACAACAAGAGTTCTTGCAGTGACATTGGTTATTAAAAGTTTTCAGCAGCAACTTGAAAGTTAATTTTTTTGTAGTGAAATTAAGAATTAAAGTTAGACATTGCCTCAGAATTAAGAACAACGACAACAGAAACAAAACAAGTGTTGCAACTATGGAAAATATTGCCACAATTATTTGTCATGAAAAAGCATCGCCACAATTAGTTATTAAACCAAAAAAAAATTAGATTATCGTTGTAATATATATAATATTAAAATTAAAA